GGGAAACCTAAAGGGAGAGGGGCTAGGTTTAGAATATATCACACCACTGCAGGGATTCACCACCAAGGCATGACATATTCAAACAGGTACTAACAATCATCACTTGGCGACTTAAAGACATCAAGGCAGATTCAAAATAACAGTCATAGTCAACAGTTGTTACAGAGATATGATCAAGGTCATGGGACTGAATTATTATCAAGAGTACCAAAACATGGCACCCCTAAGATCTAAAAGGGTCATGCTTCTAACAGTATTAACAAGTCAACATATTTAGATAATACCAACAAATGAACTTTACTAAGGTTTGAGAGCCAAGTCCAGTTTCAGGTTAACAATAAAAGAGAAGGGCTAGGCATAACTCAAGGTAGAACATGGTACTGCAGAGTTAAAGCAAGGACACTGGTAACATTCAATCAACTATACATGGGAAAGAAGAATGAAACTATGATCTCACATAAGCTGAGGGAGTTTGCACATTATAGAACCATACCAACATGTTGATAAAGAGAAGATATGGAAGACATTGTATCAAAACAAGTTCAAATTCAAACATAAATCTAGTTCACCATATATGTATGAAGTGATCATGTTTCAATTAAAACTGTTAGTTGACTATAATAGTATTTCTAAATCCTACTTTCATGGAAGTAAGCTAATAATGGATGCATGCATACTTTACATAGATTTAGCAGGGGTTCAAAGAGATTAAGGACAGGGATGTATTGCACATATGTGAGAAGATCTCAAACAGATTATGGAACAAACAAACTTAGTTGTGCAGCAATTATTAGTTGACCTTATCCAATTAAAGTCATGACTCACATTAAGAAGAGGAAAATAGTTTGATCTTACAGAATATATATACAGTAAAGATTCATGAGAAGAAAATAGATTGATGCAAATAAGATAGTTTTCCTATGCATTCAACAGTCGAGCATGATCATGGGAAAGTTCTAGTGACAACTCAGATATCACTCTGAGAGTTAACATGTACAGATACAGAACAGAAAAACATCTAGGTATTCAAATTCTTTCAACTTAGTTAAGTGACATGGACATATGGTATATTAGCTAAGATTATCAAATAATAAACCTGATCATAAACATATAGAATGCAGGGGAATGATATGTAGAGGTGGACATTATAACAGTATCATTGGTGAAAGGGAAACATGAACATGATTGCTTTATCAACGATTGTAATCAAATAGAATAAGGACCATAGTGATAACTCAGAGGCTTAGAGGCAGTTTAACAAACACATGCAGACAAGTAAGTATTTAGACATTATAATGTCAAGCTTAAGGTTAAGGAACAAGGATACAAGTCTTGAACAAGTTCAAGTTTGAATTTAGCAGTGACTCTCAAGTAGAAAACTTAGCTTTTAAAGCTCATAAAATTACAGAAATGCAATAAAACGGGACTGAGAGTGCAGGAACACAAGGAACAACCATTCATGCCATGGATTTGAAAGGTCAGTAATGATTTGAAGTTTCATCTCTGAGATTAGGGTTCGAATTTTGGGAGATTTGATTTTGGTGATGAAATAAGCAAAAGTTCAACATGAATACTGGATATGGGAGACAAATGAGATGATTTGAGGTTAATTTCACGACCTTGCACCAATTTGTGCAAGGTCTGTTGATTGATGGGGATCAGGGGAGATGAGAGAAAGAAAGAATAAGAGGAAATAAAGGCGGCTGGGCGGGTAGGAAATGAATTAGGGTTTGGGGAGTGAGACCAGTTGGTCTCTGAGTTAAACGGGGGAAAAGATCTGAGCCGTTGGATCATTTGATCAAGGACCCTGATAATCGTGGCATTACTTATTTAAGAAAACAATTTTAGGAAAATATGGGGACCGTTGGATCTATATGATCCAACGATTGAGATAATTTCTTATAGTGGGTCGAAATCAAATGGAAAATAGGGATAATTCGTGACCGTTGATGATTTGAATCAACGGTTCAGATAGGTTGTGTTTGTTTTGTGAGTGGGATTAGTGGGTGATGTGTCAGGTCGTGATTGGTTGAGAGGTAATGGCAAGGATTGCCAAGTTGGAAGGGGATGGCGTGTTTGGATTGAGTTGTTTTCCGGATTGGGCTGTACATTTGGGCCAAAGTAATTTAATAAATAGCCACTTTGTACTTGGTTAAGGAATTGCAGTAGTAGCCTTTTAGTTTTAAAATCCCTTTTCAAATCAATTTAAACAGACATAACAATTTCAATATAATGTGATGAACTTATAATTACTGTACGTTACTAATTATTTTAATTATCTATAAATGACACATATTTCAAATTGTTGCACTAATTTCAAAATATTAATAAAGTAGCCTAATTTTTGGATAATAAGGAGTAATTTTGTCAAATTATAAAACCTATGTAATGTACAAATAGATATTCATTACTGGGAAAATAGCTTTTAAAGTATTTATTATAAATAGTTAAGGTGAATAAATTAATTTTAAAAGGGAGGGTCAAAATTGACCGTCAATAGTTGTCCATCTTTGGCCGGAGATGATGAAAGAGTTTTGGGTAAAGAAATTGAACCAAAGCCAATTTTGTCCCGACTTTAGGCACGCATTGCAAGAATGTCATGAAAGTTATGGATTGAGGAAGAATCTAGGGATGTTTGGGAATATTGGGGCGATTTTTGGCTCTAATGGCTTACAAAACTCGGGCTTAACGAGGATCAGGCCTCATCTAGTTTTTGAGTAGGGACTTCGGGGAAGCGGCACTCGCTGGAATGCCCCGGTATCATATTGTGAAGATACAATGAGACGGAAGATTTCTCACTCATGATCGCTTGAATTTTGCAGCCTGATTTGAATGATTCGAAATTTTGAGCTCGCTGGTCATTTTGAGCTGGGATCTTGAGCGCGCTACTAGGTTGGCTGTCCCCATAGAGTTGTAGTTCGGTCTGCTGCTAAGATATAGTTCCACACTGCGTTGTTTGTTCCTGCAAAACAAAATGAAATACATGCATACTAATATATTATAATGCATCATATATTAAGATGCAATGTAAATGATGCAGGAATGATGATGCCTAGCTGCCAGCAAGCCGTTATTTGGGATTGGGTTGTTGGGATACTTGATCCCAACTCGATTTGTTAGCCGAGCTGGGTACTGTTCCGCAGCTGTCGGAGCATTTGAAAATTGTCTCCGCTTTTTGGGAGAGCTTGATTGGTAAAATGTGTCTCCGCTTGCTGGGAGAGCTTTGCACTGAGAAATATCTCTGCTTGTTGGGAAAGTTTAATTTGCAGGGTGCGTCTCCGCTTATTGGGAGAGCTTTGCACTAAAATGTAAAGTAGTCCCTGCCTGGAAGCGATCAAAATAATGCCTAAAGACGCATGAAAAAAATGTTAAAACATTCAAGGTAACAGTGAAATGAAATATAAGAATGCCTAAGAGATACTCTTGACTCCGAAGCTAAGTTGCGGCCATTGATTGGCAGAACATTGATGACAAGGTTTACGATTGTCTATTCCGGCATTTGTGATTGACGGAGCGGTGCTGTGGATTGCTTTTTGTTGGCAAAGTCTGCAGTTTGCTATATATAAGGCTCCCGTTGGTGAAGCAGACGTTCAATTTGTACAAGGCGCTCTGATTTATTGAGCCAACGGTTTGCTATATACGGGGCTTCGATTGGTGAAGATGACATGTGATTTTTACAGGATGCTCCGATGGATTGAGCAGGCGGTTTGCTATTTACAAGACTTCGATTGGCAAAGCCGGCATTCGTTTTGTACAAGATGCTCCGATTAAGTGAGCAGAAGGTTTCCTATTTACAGATTTCTATACCAGCTATCTGATTCCAATGCACTTGCAAAGAATTCAAGAGTTAGCTTTAGCTGCGCTTGAAAATTTAAGTAAGAGGAAGGAGAGATAATCTTAGGCAAGTGGCGGGTCTGTCATTTTCCCTAGTGTGGTTCCAACAATTATTTACTCATTTTTGACCCCGCACTCAAAGAAAACTTCTTAGTTGGGGGTGGTGGTGGTGGTGGTGGTGGTGGTGGTAAGCTAGTTTGCGTTGACCCTAGTGTTGATATATATATATATATACATATATATATATATATATATGTGTGTGTGTGTGTATATGTGTATATATATATATATATATATATATATATATATAATATTTCGAAAATACTTGTTCTTTTAAGGCAAATGCCATCATCCCGAATTATGACATGTTAAGAAAGGTTCTTTGCATGTGAACGCATTTCTCTAAGAACTTCGTCATGTTGATGTCGATCTCCCATGGTATCTATGACAACGTGGCTGCTGGACGTTGCGACTGCATCCTAATTAAGACTGATGCATTACAGAGGTTTCCTAAGGTTATGACCGAACCCTTTCAGGTTGCCTACGTATCCAAAGCGGAATCAGGTCTGAACATAGTTCGTGGGATAATGATGAAATGCGATGAAATGATCGAGCCTAACTCAGGCAGCCTACATATCCAAAACGGAATCAGGTTGGGATGTAGTTCGATTATAATAGTGCAAGATGATGAGATTAAGAGATAAAAACGGCCAAGTCTGACTCAGACAACCTACGTATACCTGGCCAGAATGTAGTTTACAAAAGATGATTGAATCTGATGAGGATTGTCTATTGTATTCCTTTACGAGGAAATCAAGTCGGCATAGTTCTGTTAGGAGTTCCTTTGTTGCCTACGTTTCCCTCCATGGGAAATCAGGTTGAATGTAGTTTTGTTACATTAAAAACCCTAACTCTATCTGTCTTCAGGTTTAATACCTCTTGATTGCGTCCCAGTTGATTGGCTTCGTGCCGACTCTTCCATCCATTTCTTCTAAGATTAGAGCTTCACCAGACAATGTTCTGTGGACCATGTAAGGACCTTGCCAGTTTGGTGCAAAATTCCCTTTAGCTTCCTCTTGATGGAGAAAGATTTTCTTCAGATTTAACTGCCCTGGTGCGAATTGGCGAGGCTTCACTCTTTTGTTAAATGCACTAGCCATCCTATTCTAGTATAGCTGTCCATGACATACTGCATCCATTCTTTTCTTGTTAATGAGCACGAGTTGTTCTTGCCTGACCTGTATCCAGTCTGTGTCGTCCAATTTTTCTTCCTGGATGACTCTTAAAGACGGAATTTCGACTTTTGTGGGTATCACTGCTTTAGTGCCGTATACTAACATGTACGGCATTTCCCTAGTGGATGTTTTCATGCTAGCCAGGTAACCTAATAAAGCAAAAGGTAACTTATCGTGCCATTGCCAGTGATCTTCCACTATCTTTCGCAGAATCCTCTTGATATTCTTATTAGCTTCCTCGACTGCCCCATTATTGTGGTCTGTTAGCTGTGGAATTGTGGTGGACGATTTTGAACTTTTCGTAGACTCTGGTATCTTGAATTTGCAAATGATGTTGTTCCGAACAAAATCTGCTACTACCTTCTTCGTGACGGTTTGTAAGTAGATGCCTCGATCCATTTAGTGAAATAGTCAATTTTTACCAAAATGAATTGGTGTCCGTTTGATGCTACATGCTTAATGGGTCCTATCACGTCCATGCCCTAGGCGGTGCAAGGCCAAGGTGAACCCATTACATTTAACTCATTTGGTGGAACCCGGATGAAGTCTCCGTGAATCTGACAATGGTGACACTTTTGCACATAGCAGATGCTGTCATTTTCCATAGTCATCCAAAAGTATTCAGCTCTCAAAATCTTTTTGGCTAAAATGAACCCGTTCATGTGGGGTCCGCACGTCCCCGCATGTATTTCTTTCAATAGTCTGGTTGATTTGGCAGCGTCTACACATCTCAGCAAATCTAAGTCTGGGGTCCTCCTATACAAGACTTCCTCGTTGAGGAAAAAGTGGTTTGCCAATCTCCCAAGGGCTCGCTTTTGACTATTAGCAGCATTTTCTTGGTACTCCTGTGTCATGAGGAACTTCTTGATGTCGTGATACCAAGGTTTACCATCTGGTTCTTCATTCACATGGAATCAATAGGCATGTTGACCCTTGATTTCTATCTCGATGGGGTCGATGTAGTTCTTGTCTGGATGCTGAATCGTGGATGATAAGGTTGAAAGGCAAACTCGTTCTGAATCCTGGGGACATGCCTAAACTCTATCTTCGTGATCTTCTTGCACAGTTCTTTCATGCAGTGCAGGTATGGCAGTATCTTGACATTCTTAGTTGACCATTCTCCTTAGACTTGGTGGATCATCAAATCGGAATCTCCTATGACCAAAAGTTCTTTGATGTTCATGTCGAGTGCTATTTTGATTCCAAGGATGCATGCCTTATATCAGCCATATTATTGGTGCACGGGAATCTTATCTTTGCCGACGCTGGATAGTGTTGTCCAGATTCCGAAATCAGGACTTCCCCTATCCCGACTCCTTTAAAGCTTGCTGCTCCATCGAAAAAATCCTCCATCCGGGGTACGATTCTGCGATGTCTTCCCCGGCAAATAGTACTTCTTCATCAGGAAAATACGTGGTAAGTGGTTCGTAATGCCCATCCACTATGTCACAACCCAATTCTATAATAGGCCATGATGGCACCTAACACTGTCGCTAGGCAAGCCAACTGTGAACTAGCCACATGATTTCCTCTTTTTAACAAAATTTTCCAAGTAATTAAACTTTCCTTAAATTAAAAGATTTAAGAAATAATGGATTCAAAATAAATAACACGATAACAACTGAGTGCAATTATAATCAAAGAATAAAAACCAAAATCACAAGTCTACTAGTGTGTGCCAAGACCTGGTGTCACAAGTCTATGAGCATCTCAAGCTCTCAATTATTCTCTACATGGATGTAAGCACCTCAATGATATTAATCTTCTAACTATAGCGGTGGTCTAGTACTTAATTCAAGAGTGGACGTTATTACACATCTTAGCGATATGAAAGCTCTTCCTTGTGGCACAATGACTTTTTCATTGGCCTCGTTTACTACTTCTGTTGCTTTCCTTTGCCGGGAGATAGTTGTTGTCTTGTGGCAACATTTAAATGTCCTTGAACCTCTAGCCAAACTCTACTATTGAATGACAGGTCCGTGCCATACAGGAACAAGATAAAGGTGACGTTCAGTTATTTGACCCTAATCGCAACATACACACGGAGGAATAAGAAAGAAAGACAAGACACATCCTATCACACCCTCGCAGAATCACGATTATGGGAATGGCTGGCTACATAACCATAATTGAGATTCTACAACCGATGTATGCTCCATTAGCCACTAGAATAACCTAGGCTCTGATACCAACTTTGTCACGACCCACTTTAGGATCATGACCGACGCATAGGAGCAAGTTCCCCTAAGTAAGCCTCATTGACATTTTACAGAAAAACGGACAGAGTTTCCCCCATTTTTGGACTATCAAAAAAAAATTCCTGTCGCAAAATCAACAACCAAACATCCTAATATCAATCCAATCAACAATAACTTTATCCATTAACCAAAACAAGTCTCAACCATTATAATCTATCCACTAACAACCACAAATACTAATTTATCTCCAAATTCGATAAGAAAGTGCAATACTCATCATAAGTCTATAATAATGAAAGAATACTCATGACACTAAAAGAATGACCATGGAGCGATTCTATGAGTTAATAAGAAAAGACAATAACAAATAAATAAACTCTTCGCGCACACGACTAAGTGCGGAGCTTACTAAGAACTATCAATTCGTATACACTAATTAATGAAATCCTCGCTCGCGTCAACTGCTGTCTCTGTAAAAAAATTATGGGGAGTGGGTCGCTAGCTCAATGAATAATAACACTTAACCACAACCGTTTTTAATTGGGGACAAGTCAGAAAACATGCTAGTATATTATACAGAAAATATCATGAGAATGCCCTTTCAAAAACAATAAACAATAATCAATCTCATCATGTGTTTCGTGTAACAAAATCGATTGAACAATTCGGTAATAAACTCGGTAAGCACTGTCTCATAGCAAATCTTTATGTTTGGGAGGTTTCCAAGAAAGGATCATGTAATCTGTATCACTGTGTGGACCCCTTTGTAAACAGAGTCGTATATAATTGTAGGTCCCTATTTGAGGGAAAACTGTAACTGTATGCTAGTTCTACCTTCCCACTAGCGAGGGCTATAATTGTAATTGTTAATCTATAAATACAAGGTGCATCAGGTCTAACGAGCCCGCCATTAGTTACGGGATCCTTCAAAGTCTCCTCCCATGTATACTTTTCTTTACAAAACAGTAAATATTCACATGAAAACATTTTCAAAATAGTATAGGGCATTTCAATTCTTTTCAAATCATGTAATTCAAATTCGGTAACGGTAATCATATCTCAAGTAATAGTAAAGCATATCTCGTAATAGTGAGAACATTTTAAATAATTGTAAAAATCTCAAGTAAAAGACTTCTCCCACATGCAATTTCAAACATTCGGTAACATATTTTATTTTTAAAATAATGTATAAACCATGCAGGTTATAAAAACACAAATCGCGGTAAGATTACTACTCACAGTACTCATGCCGAAATATTGAACTTGTCGCTGCGAGCACTTCGTTCGACTTCTTCAGCTGCCTATCGTTACAAAACCAATCTATGTATCAACTCCATGAGCACCAGTATAGTTGGTTAAATTTTGTTGAACTTAATTCTTTCCCTGTTTTTATTCCACGGGATATGACTTATTTTAATTTTTTTATTTTTTTTGCGAATCAACTAGTATACCCAACTCTCAGGATATCTCGTTTAATTCTCAAATAACCTAAACTAGTCCAGTATCTTCTTAAAAAGTGTTCATATAGTTTATTTGCTATAATGTTAAAAAACAAAAGAAGAAAAAAATTCTTTTCCCTGGATATAAGAATCGGCAGTTACTTAAAATATCATTGATGCCCATTATATTTCTTATTGATATTTAATTTCGTTAACGCAATGGAATTTTATAAACCAGAGGAACAAAGGCAAGCAAAACTATAGATAAGAGCTTACATTGCTCGAGTCAAAATAGACTCGCTAAAACTTCTAAGCTTCCTCTACATCTCTGTTTTTACGCCACTGTAATGCTAATAAGGCTATTTCTCTGAAGTTGCCTTTAATTCTAACTCTTTGTCCTTTCCAAAGCTTCAGAACATAGCTTTTCTTTTCTCCCCTCGATCTTCCTTTCTGCTTCGATGTTTTCCCCCTTTTTTCCTTTTTGCTAATCTTTGTGATGCTAATGTTAGACAATATTGCTATAGCGCTTCTTCCCGAGTCTATTCTTTCTTTATGTGTTGGCAAACTTTGAAAAAACCCTTATGATTGTTTAAACTTCTAATCTGCCGAAACTTTATTGTTTCGTACCCCTCCCCTTAAACCCATTTTTGCTTCTTTCGTTGTTTCTTTCCAATGGGCTTTAGCCCATAAATATTCCTATTGTTCATTACTTCTTTTGGGGGGCTAAAGACTTAATTGTCCTTATTACAATATAAAGTATTACACAATCCCTCTTTACGATTATTTGGTTCAAGTTCGGTCTTTGCCAAAGAAGATTTGCCCCATAACTCAACCATACACATATAACTGTCAATATAATATTTGCAATAAAAGTAAATATAAAGATTTAATTGTCCTAATTAAGGTACTACAGAAAATAGAAAATAGAAAAAGGAATAGTGTCACGACCCCAGTTCGCCCTCCGTGAACTATCGTGATGGCACCTAGTCTCTACGACTAGGTAAGCCTAACAAATGTAAAAAAAGGAACAAAATGCGGAAAAACTAATAAAAACTGAAGATAAACAAATGTAGAAGAGTTTAAGATGCCGCTCGACATATACCAATACAAGATCTCAAAAAAACTAAATAATTCCCAAAACCCGGAATCCCATGAATCACAAGCTAAGAGATACATAAAAAGCTCTAACTCCAGGAATGTCTATCATCAAGGAAAAAATATAGAAGGGCTAAACTAGTACAGAGAATAGAAAGGGACTCCAAGGTCTGTGGACGCGGCAGATATACCTCGAAGTCTCTACAAAAGCGCCTCGCCTGAAGGGTGATAAGACTGAGTGAGAGTACCTGGATCTGCACATGAAAAACATGCGCAGAAAGGGCATAAGTACACCACAACGGTACTCAGTAAGTGCCAAGCCTAACCTCGGTCAGGTAGTGACGAGGAGGTCAGGGCCCTACTGAGGTTAAATGAAATACAAGGTATAACAGTATAGAATAATGCAATATACTTAAGTGCAACAGTAAGAAGTAACACATGATAGAAAGAACTATTACAGAGACAAAATAATCATGGAAAGGAATACAGCTCGACACATAGATAACAACCGGGGATCTCTCAGTATCCCGAGGATCTCTTAGTATCCTCAATATGTGTGCTGGGGATCTCTCAGTATCCCGAGGATCTCTTAGTATCCTCAATATATGCTGGGGATCTCTCGGTATCCCAAGGATCTCTTAGTATCCTCAATATATATGCTGGGGAT